CTTTTTGTCTATTGTATTAATGCATAGCAGATACATTGAAAGTCCATGCTCTTATTTCTTCACGTCAACGATGTATCGGATCTCCAATGTATCTCAAAATTTTGTCAACAATTTTGATTGAAAAATTGAGAGTTTTTTTGGAAGAATGGGAAGACGAAGGCTGTCGATAATTGAGAGTTTTTTTTTGGAATAATGTGAAGAAGAATGTTGTATTAATCTGCAATGTATCTCGAAATTTTGATTCAAAATTTACTAGGGATTGAATCTCATTGTCAATAATACTTTCCTATGATTTCCTTCTACTATATATCGATTTCTCAAGTTTTTTCTCATCTCATCGATCTCTTGCAATTCTAGATTTGAGACCCACAAAAGAAATTGTTTGTCCAACAACTATTCAATATGTATCTTATCAATTTTTTTGGTAAATTGAATCTACTTTGCATGGTTCTTCGATGAACGAGGATAACAATGAATAGGGAGAAGAAAATTGTTTTTTGAATTTGTTGGTTCTGTTAGGATTTGCGTGTGACTGATTGACTGTAAGAAGAAACGTGTAATCGTAATTTACGGGATTTTAATTGGATTTTCTATTGTTTTTCCTTTTTCAGCATAACAGCTTGATACATAATGTATCAACATTAATGTATTCAGATAGTGAGTTATGTATCCGGATTGTGTAAAAATTAAGAAATTATTGTAATTAAAAAAAAGTAGGGGATAAAATGAAATTTACTCTTTACAGTATGAGATTTATGTAAGTTACACAAAAATAATAGTTTAACAACTTGTTTCCTTACTAATTTGTGATGCTCAGTACTGTCGTATATTTTATCCAAATCATCCGAAATTGAGCAAAATTTACAATCGACATCTCCAAAAATTTCTTGATCAACGAATTTGTATAATTCTTACCTCTCCATCAATATTTAATGATCTGATTTGAAAACTTCTTGCTCAACGAATTTGTATAATTCATACCTCTCCATCAATCTTTAATGATCTGATTTGACTAAAATTCATGATAATTTCTTATTATTGTTAACCTATTGTGTACACTTCGAATTATGATTTTTTGTCACATATTCAAGCTGAGGAAAGTTGTGCAATAATAAGTAATACTTTCACCATTTTTTATAAGATGAACATCGCTAAGCATGAGATTCCAACTCATTACATTTGAAGAAACCGTACCCGATATTCAAGAACCAGATTCTTGAATAATACACACAAGATACTTACGTTAATGAACAATAACACCAATATATCGTGGAAACCTTCCTAACTCAAGTAAGGAAAAAACCATACAGAGTTTTATATTAATTCAACAATTACAATTCAGTAAATCGATAAATCTAACTCTAAGCGTCTACCCTTTCGATTAACTATAATCGAAAACACCCTCAACTCTCCAAGAAGTCAAACTCGCTTCTTGGTTCAAAAACTCTCAATCTCTCTACTAACTCTAACCCCTAAGAAGTCAAATCCACTTCTTGTTTACAATTCTTACAAACTCTCACAAACACTGATCCAAGGACAGATCAATGCTACTCAACTATTCGAAAATAATTCTAACTCTAGAATTCTTTCGTTTCTACTTCTCGAACAATTTGGCCTTCGCTATGATTCTCTCTCTCTTGCTCTCTCTTTTCTGAATTATGCAAAGACGACTTCTTCTTTCTGTCTCGTTGTACTTTTATAGATTCTGAACTTTGTTTGAATCCAACATGTATAAGGAGAGAAGTTCTCGTTGTGCTAGGAAACTATTTTAATTAATTCTTTTAATTGCAATACCTTTTCCTTTTACAACTTGACTTCTCATGTCTCCTTATTTATGTAGGACTTCTTTTGTTGATGCTTTCCTCTTCCAACTCAACTTTTTGTTTAGTGCGAAAAACTCTTCTTTTTCGATGCTAGCTTTATTACCGTTATTTAGCCTTTGAGTTATATGCTTTGCAAGGTGAACCTGGTTCATGGTGTCAATCATCAAAACTGTATTTGATTTATCAATCTCCCCCTCTTTGATGATGACAAATCTACTCCACTTCTTGTGCAAAATCAACACCATATATATACAAGACAAATAATATCTTCCCTCTTTTTTCATATAAAAAAGAAGAGTGGACAATAAACAATAACATACCTTAACCAAAACTTAGAGCCCACGAAGGGACAACAATCCAGAAAAAACACAGCATAAACGATACCAATATGAGGATATTAGCCATCTTTAACATAGGTAACACAAATGCCGCACAAGAAAAAGCAGAGTAAGCAAGGAAATCAATATGCACCTACATTTTAAGCTTATGAGAGCACCATCAAAATATCCAAAATATGCAAACACACAGTAAAGAATGTCAATGTCTTAAACAAAAAGCACAAGTAACTGGACTAGAAATATGTGTTCAAGAGGTGGCATAACTTGGCTTAGGAGGAAAGGAGGAGGAAGCGAGGAGCTGGAGAACCCGATCTATTCAAGCGTTGTTATCGAGTTGTTGTTGCACTAACTATTCTTGCAATTTGGTAACTTCCCCCAGAGAAGCAAGTAGGTCAGCACGCAGAGATGCATTTTCAGCGTGAAGAACAGCAAGCTGGTCCCTGACAGTCCTAAGATCACGAAGCAAGCTAGCAACGGGTCCAAACGCTCGGGGAGAAGCAATAGGAACCTGATCTGGTTAAGCAAGTAGTCCATACTCAGCAAGGGAGGACCTGGTAAACATGTCTGCATGAGTCAAAGCTCTTCCCTCACCTAATGGCACAACAAACTCCTTGAACACTATAGTAAGAAGATTCCCATAAGCAAGTTGATGAGAACCAGGTTGGGGATCAGCAATTCTAGCCATGTGTTTGATCATAAAGGATGGCCAATCTATGGGCTCCTTGTTCTCCAAAGCATGTCCAATTCCCATATCACAAAAACAAGCCTCATGTCATCTATGACCCTAGGTATGATGCCCTTATGAATAATTTCGAACAAAATTTTTTGAAAAGTTGCCATTTTACCCTTTAACACGTTCCTAGCCCTAGTGGAGACCCTACCCTGGGAATACTTAGATGTAAGAAGACAGTGCTTATCATTCGGCCAAACATACTCTACAAGTCCATTAGTAGGTAGATTTAGTATTTCCCCAAGCCTAATATGGTCGAAAACCAATTCTACCCCATTTACAGTAGAGGTGCAACCTTCCCTTCCAGAACAGTAATATTTGTATAGAATTCGACCACTTCCTTTTCATATACCAACAGTTTAGAATCAACAAACAGATCCCTCATCTAAAAGTTTAATAACCCCAAAACCCTCTTTACTGCATCTATTGAGAGGATTTTAGAGTGAAAGGTCCTACCCCTAAGCATAGGCGTAGTACGAAGGTATTTCTCCTTCCCGATTTCCAGAAATTTTACCATATTTTTACTCAATTTTTGTGATGGGGGAGAGGCAGATGGTACAGATGCGGAAACTTCTCCGATTCAGAGTCAAGCATTACTGGAAAAGAGGATGGTTGAACGGGGGACTTACTAACACGACGACATTTAGTACGGGATTCCATGGCCTCTTTCAATTGAGCCTAACTTTCACTGCGAGTGAAAGGGCGTGCGAAGAGATGTCTGTTTCACAGCGATATGTTTGCGCGGACGCCAAGGTGTTTGGGGATGTAAAACACTGAGGGGAACATCATCAAGATCCTGTTCTTGAGGGGGAGTGGGTGATGGAGGATGAATAGTAGTGGTGGTGGTAGGAATGTGAGTTTCGATTGGAGGCGAAGATGGGAAGAGAGTGGGGTTAGGGTTTGGAGTTTTTGAAGAAGGAGGTGATGGAGATGGAGTGAAGGAGTCGTTGAATGCAAAAGCCGGTAAGGAGGATGGTGGTCGAGTGGGTGATGGATCTTTGGGTAAAGAGGTTAAAGATGTATCGGTGGAGTGGTTTTCTTGCCCCTGAGAGTGTACATCGGGATATGCTGGGGCCGATGGGAGCGCCGTTGAGGCGGATGAGCTTTCATCATCGGAGTAAGCGACGAGAGGGTTAGCCATTAGAGTGTTCAAGATTTCTTGGGGATTCTCTTGGTTGCTTTTGGTGTGTGGATGGTATGAGTACAGAAGGGGCTAATGGAGGAGACCTTGGAAAAGAAAGGTAATAATTATGGTCTAACATAGATGGGAGGGGTGATTGACGGTTGGGCTTACAGGGATGACGTATGGGACTGAGTGAGAAAGAGAAAAAGATGGATTTCCTTTTAAGATGATTTTTCCGCGTAAAATTGCTTGTGTGGAGATATATGTAAAAAGAAAGGTGAACCAGGTCCCTAGTGCTTCAGAATAATGACAGGGTCAAGTTAACATGTGTGATGCATGGATGGATACGTAATGGAATGAAGATACCCGATGTCCTGCAAACCTGGTTCAAGGCATGTGAGCGCTCATGTACCAAAGTTATAAGAAACTAAGGGTAATATCATTAGACCTGATCAACAAGCTATGTCTCCTAAAAAGTATACCTCAAACAGGGTACCAAGATTAGTTTGGTGGAGGCAGATGCTTAATTTATTTCACACACTAAGGAGTGGGAGAGAGATAAGTATTAGCCCTGAAATATTATCCCTAGAGCAAAGTGGATTTTCTGAAACGGTTCTCTTCCAAGTGCCTTAGTGAAAATGTCAGCAATCTGGTCCTCAGTTTTGCAGGAAGTCATTATGATGAAGCCTTTTTCAACATTATCTCGAAGGAAGTGATGGCGGATGTCTATATGTTTGGTACGTTTATGTTGAACCGGGTTCTTTAGCATGTTCACAACACTTGTATTGTCACACTTGATGGGTATACAACCTACTTTGATTCCAAAATCTTCTAGTTGTTGTTTGATCCATAATAGTTGGGCACAACATGATGCAACAACAACATATTCAGCCTCAACCCTTGAAAGTGCGATTGAGTTTTGTTTTCTGGTTTCCCAAGAAACAAGACAAAGTCCTAAAAAGTGTGTCATTCCATATGTGCTTTTTCTATCGACCAGGTAGCCAGCATAGACGGCATGAGCAAATTCTACTATATGAGTCACATGAGGGATACCATAGCACCAGGTCCACAGTTCCTTTGAGATATCGAAGTATTCTTTTTACTTTCTTTAGGTGGGATTCTTTGGGACATGACTGAAATCTAGCACATAGGCCAACACTGAACACAATATCGAGTCTACTGGCAGTTAGATACAGAAGAGATCTAATCATTCTTCTATATTTTGTGTCGTTTACCTGAGAACCAGTTTCATCCTTGTCAAGCTTTGTTGTGGTACCAATGGGGGTATCAATTGTCTTAGCCTCATTCATCTGAAATTTCTTTAGTAATTCTTTTATGTATTTTTGTCGATGGATTGCGGTACCTGATGGAGACTGCTTGATTTGGAGACCTAGGAAGAAATTTAGTCCACCCATCATGCTCATCTCAAATTCACTACTCATTAACTTTGAAAACTCAACTTCAAGGTCATCATCCCTTAAATATGATATCATCTACATAGATTTGAACGATGAGTAGATCTTTACCTTGTTTTCAAAGAAATAATGTATTATCTATTTTTCCTCGTGAATAACTATTTGTGAGAAGGAACGTGAATAAGAAGTCATACCAGGTTCTTGGTGCTTGTTTCAGCCCATATAGTGCTTTATCTAGTTTATATACGAATTTAGGATGATCAGGGATCTCAAAACTAGGGGTTTTTTTCACATACACTTCCTCTTGGAGAAATCCGTTTAGAAAGGCACTTTTTACATCCATCTGATATAGTTTGAACTCCATGTGAGACGCGAAGGCTATTAACATCCTTATTGCTTCTATTCTTGCAACAGGTGTGAAGGTCTCATCATAGTCGATTCCTTCTTCTTGATTGTATCCTTGTACGACTAATATGGTCTTATTTCGTGTGAATTTTCTTTGATAATCAAGCTTAATTATGAATACCCATCTAGTACCTATCACATATTTGTCATGTGGTCTCGGGACCAAGTTCCAGACCTTACTTCTCTCAAACTGAACCAGTTCCTCCTACATTTCAATAATCCAGTCTAGGTCTGCCAAATCTTCTTTAATATTTGGTTGTTCAACCAGTGATAAGTATACTGAGAAAGCACACATATTTCTTAGTTTTGATGTGGTATTAATTCCTGAATCCTAGGGTGTGAGAATATTTTGTATTAGATGAGAACTTTGATGTTTCCAGTTATTTGGTTGAGCATAGGTTCTCTCTCTTTTTCTTCTCGATTGTATTTTCAGTCTTATAAATGATGTAACTTAATTTGTCATTTGTTTTCTCAGGTCCGTCCTCATGTGATTGATTTTATGCTAGTGATTTTGGTTGAGTCATACCCAGATTATCAAGGTGGTCTACCATGCCTTCATTAGTTTCCCTTCATAAAAAATGACATGCATGATTTCTTCTATACGGTTCGTTCTCTTGTTAAGTATTTTGTAGGCTTTACTCAAGGAATACTCCTTCATCACTTTTGACATCAAATTTACCTAAGGTGTCTTTCCCATTGTTATGCACGTAGCAGGTACACCCAAGAGGTCAAAGATGTGCTAGATTCAGTTTCTTCCTTTCAACAGTTCGTATGGGGTTTTATCTAGTATGGACCTTATCATGCATCTGTTAATAAGATAACATGAAGTGTTTATTGCCTTAGCCTAATAGGATTTTGGTAGGTTGCTTGATATCAACATGGTTTTAGCAATGTCTTCCAATGTTCTATTCTTGCGTTCTACCACACCTTTTTGTTGTGGAGTTCTTGGTGCTGGAAAGTTGTGATCAACACCGTTGATAGTGCAGAAGTTCAGGAACTTAGAGTTTTCAAATTTTAAACCATGATCTGAATAGATGCTAATAACTTCACTATTGAATTTCTTTTGGACCAGTTTCACAAAGATTTCGAACATATCGTATGTATCATCCTTTGTTGCTAGAAATATGGTCCATGTGAATCTAGAGTAGTCATCTACAATTACAAATATATACCTTTTTCCTCTTCTACTTAGTACGCACATTGGTCCACATAGATCCATGTGAAACAATTCCAGAGGTTTTGTTGTGCTGACTACTGCTTTTGGTTTGAAAGAGGATTTTATCTGTTTACCCTGATTACATGCGCCACAGATTTGTTCACTAAATAGCCTTTTTTCTGGTAGTCCTTTAACAAGGTCTTTTGATATTAGCTTATTAATTGTAGAAAGATTGATATGGCCCAACCTTTTGTGCCAAAGAAGGGAATTTTCAGTAAAGGCGTTGAGGCAGGTGAGCGAATTTTCTGGGCTCATTATATCAGTTGTGTATACATTTTTGTGCCTTTTTCCAATGAGAACCAGCTCCTCTGTGGTTGAGTTTACCACATTGCATTCATTTGTACTAAATATGACTTTGTTTCCTTTGTAACACATTTGAGATATACTTAGCAGATTGTGTTGTAACCCATTCACATAGTACACATTGTCAATTGTTTGGTTAAGGTTCAGGCCTATTTTTCCAATTCCTTATATTTCTCCAGTTTTTCCATTCCCAAAGGCTACATTTCCACCCTCAAAGTCTTTCAGTGAGAGGAAGTTGTTTCTATCTCCAGTCATATGCCTCGAACATGCGCTATCCAGGTACCATTGGTTTGACTTTCCTCTCGCTAAAACCTGCAGTCATTAAACAAGATTAATTTTGAGTACCCAGATCCACTTGGGTCCCTGTTTGTTAGAGTAATGATGAATAAGATTTTTCTTAGCCCATGATGGAAGGGTTTTAAGTGTGGGAGCCAGCTCTGTTTTGTTTTCTTTCTGTATCTTCTGTGTTTTTTGTACGAAAGTGACATTGTTTTTGTGTGCAGTTTATTTTTTATTTCATGCATAACTCTTATGTCATGTAAGTCCACAGTGGGAACACATACAATCTATGTTGGGATTTTTCGCTTCAGAAAAACCTATTCCATGTCTTGTTATAGATTGACTCTTTTGGATGTTATCGAGAAATATGGAGGATCTGCTCCATCTCTTGTTATGCTCTGCTTCCATTTTTGTCATGTGAAGTTTCTTCTGGAGATCTTCATTTTTTACAGTTATGGAATTGAACTCTTTATTCAATTCTCTTAGCTTATTAAGCAGAAGACAGTTTTGTTGTTTCAAGTTCATTTTTTCTTCTCTTAAAGATGCATAGTCTTTCATTAGCAAGTGTCCTTCAGAACACGTTGATTGGTATCCATTTATAAGAGTGTGCAATAAGGATTCTAGTTTTCTTTTTGAGTAAGAGTCAAGATTTTCTTTAATGTGAAGTAGACTAACCTGGTCCTATTTGTCCTCTTCTTCTTCTTCTTCTTCTTATGATCATCCAACCATTAGTGCCTGAATTGTTTCCTGTGTCTGACTACTATTTTCTTTTTCTCCTGGTTCAGTTATGGCTACTAGTGCAAGAAAGTCATATTTGTCAGTTCACTCTATTGCAAGTAGGGATTGATTTTCAGTTTCCTCGTCTTCGGACTCATCTTCCGACATGCCTCCCATTGCAACAAATGTTTTCTTCATTGAGAGATCAACCTATTGGTTGGTCATTCTCTTGTTTGGAGGAATATATCTTGTCACCTTTACCGTCCTTTGTTTTGTCTGGATTATTCTTTTTATGTTGTAAGGCCCAGAGTGGACAGAATTTAATAAAGTAATTTGGACTTCCACATTTATGACATAATTGCTCTCTTGAGTTTTCGGTTGTCTTTTGAGGACCTCTTCTTTGAAACGTTTGTCCTCCTTTTTAACATTCTGGAGAACCTCTTTGTCATAAGTGCAATATTATCATCTTCAAAATCTTCAGATGTTGTGTCTTTAAGAACCAGCTTCTTCTCCTTTCTTTTACTGCCTATTTCTCTCTCTTGGTTTTTCTTTAGTTCATATGATATGAGATTTCCAATGAGCTCATCCATGGCCAGTTTATCTAGATCACGTGCTTCAGTGATGACCTCTACTTTACTTTCCCACGACTCTGGTAGAATACTAAATAGTTTTCCAACAGCCTTTCCATTTGGAATTACTTCTCCTAAAAAGTAGATCTCATTGATGATTGCAGCGAACCTGGTGTGCATATCTTGGATTGTTTCTCCTTCTATGATTCTGAACAGTTCATATTGTCTATTCAAGTTATCGATTTTAGATTTCTTGACCTGAGTTGTTCCTTTGTGTGCAGTTTGTAGAGTTTTCGAAATCGACTTTGCATCCTCACATGATGAAATCCTATTATACTCGTCCGGTCCTATGCCGCAAATTAGGATCTTTTTAGATTTGGCTTTATTTTGAATGGCAAGTTTGCCTGCAACATCCCATTCTTTTCTTTCCTTCTGTACCAACGTGACTCCATCGTCTCCGTTTTTCATGGGTAAAGTAGGGCCATCCATAACTACGCTCCAAAGATCGGGATTTTCGCCTATCATACGATTTTTCCACCATCCATAGTACTTTCCATTGAACAGTGATGGTCGAGTTTGAGAAGCTCCTTCTTGTGGGATAGGTGGTGCTGCCATTGATTCTTTTTAAGATGTGAATCTTTTAATGAGAAGACATGCTCTGATACCAATTGAAGAAACCGTACCCGATATTCAAGAACTAGATTCTTGAATAATACACACAAGATACTTACGTTAATGAACAGTAACACCAATATATCGTGAAAACCTTCCTAACTCAAGGAAGAGAAAAACCACACAGAGTTTTATATTAATTCAACAATTACAATTCAGTAAATCGATGAATCTAACTCTAAATGTCTACCCTTTCGATTAACTATAATCGAAAACACCCTCAACTCTCAAGAAGCCAAACTCGCTTCTTGGTTACAAAAACTCTCAATCTCTCTACTAACTCTACCCCAAGGAAGTCAAACCCACTTCTTGTTTACAATTCTTACAAACTCTCAAAACTCTCACAAACACTGATCCAAGGACAGATAAATGATAATCAACTATTCAAAAATAATTCTAACTCTAGAATTCTTTCGTTTCTACTTCTCGAACACTTTGGCCTTCGCTATGATTCTCTCTCTCTCTCTCTTTTCTAAATTATGCAAAGACGACTTCTTCTTTCTGTCTCGTTCGTCCTTTTATAGATTCTGAACTTTGTTTGAATCCAACATGTATAAGGAGAGAAGTTCTCGTTGTGCTAGGAAACTATTTTAATTAATTCTTTTAATTGCAATACCTTTTCCTTTTACAACTTGACTTATCATGTCTCCTTATTTATGCAGGACTTCTTTTGTTGATGCTTTCCTCTTCCAACTCAACTTTCGGTTTAGTGCGAAAATCTCTTCTTTTTCGATGCTAGCTTTATTACCGTTATTTAGCCTTTGAGTTAGTCTTGTTTAACTGTTTCCACATGTTATAAGCAACATAAGAATTTGTTTTCTTATAAATTGTCATCGCTTAATTGGCTATTGATGATTTGTTACCCT